CACATTTCATAAATGCTTCGTTTGCTTCACAGTCTTCAGAAACAGCTAAAATGGTTGATCCGGTCTTCTGAAACAGCCAAAACGGTGGATCCTTGAGGGGGGGGGTAGCTTCTATATATATACATACACACACATATACTTATATGCATTTATCTTTTCATAGGTTGATGTGTGCATATTTGTTGTTGGATTTCGATTGATGTGCATACTTATGGAGGGATCCTTGACAAGCAAAAACGTAGCAGATACTCCATAGCAAACAGACGGATGGATTTGCGTCGGTTCTACATACATATACACAGACAGGCACGCGCATATGTGAACGTGTGAGTCGCTCCAGGGTTCAGCCCGTTCTGATGTCTCCAGCGCCTAAGTTGTGTCGATGCAGGTGTAGGCTTTGTAAGCTTGAGACCCCGTGAGAAGTGCTGACTGCCGCACCCTCAGCCCGCGAAGAAGAGCGATGAATAGCAAACACAAGTGCTGGAAAGAAGCGATGAATGCATATGAATGCAAGAAGTCTTGTGAGCATAGACTATCCCGACAGGAAACAAAGGGTGGAAGCCCCCGGCAGCGTGAAAGGAATGAATGCAGCAAACCTACCCAGGCCCACGTACGGACACACCCCTAAAGCGGGCCCCTAAAATCGAAAAGGATGTTGACTGGCAAATCTCGGGGTGTTTGTCGGTGTCTGTGTGTGTGTGTCTGTGATAAAAATCACCGCCAAGGAACGGTGGATCATGAATCCTCATCACCCACGAAAATGTGATTCAGGGTTTAGGAGGGTGTGTGCTTCAGAGTTTTGCGTTTTCGGCGTGGACTGTCTCCAGGAGCCATGACTGGCAAATCTGCGACCAACGCACATGAAACACAAATAGTCATGCGGGCATCAAGAAGGCAAGACATGGCAATAGATGCACAATGTAGCAGCGGGACGGCTAAGCTTAACACAAAGCCTTGCGGCAGGTGGTCGATTCTGGCGTCGCGATGGCTACGAATATCTGAGTGTGGGGTCAGCAGGAGCCAGGACGGCAGAAAAAGTGTCACACTGGTGTCCCTGGCGGTCCGCACTTGGGAAATCACTTGCAATCACAGGTGTTGCTGAAACCTGCAACAAGCATCCCAGGTTGCTGAACCTTGCGCACAATTCGGCTTGGAGCTTACACCTGACGTTTCCATTTGACCTGCTGGTCTTCCTGACATGAACCGTCCGATGCAAAAACTAGCTGGCAGGTAATGTGTCTTATCTTGCTGCTGAGGAGAACGGGGTGAGTTTGCACATCTTGCCATGATTGGAGCTCTTGTGACATGTGCTCGCGAGCGGCAGGACTACGATGCTTGGCACCGGCAGGCAGTTGCCAAAGCACCTAGATTGGACTTGAAGGACATCCTCGTAGCCAAATGCCACAGATTTGAAGTTGGAGATGAGCGCAGGAGCTGAAGGCACAAAATGGAAAGCCGATCAAGAAGCTGCAAAGACCTGAACCTGCACAACTCTGCAGCGGGGGTTGCCAGTGTGCCCTAATGACTTGAGCCGAGGCCAAAAATACTTCATGTGGTTCCCTATGTGCACCAAGCTCAGAGCAAGAATCTGACACTCAGTCAGAGGAGAGCTTGACCTTGCTTGCTTTAAGGCTACTATAAGGTTACTATAAGGCTATAAGGCTACCATAAGGTTACTATAAGGCTACTATAAGATTAATATAAGAAGCTTGTTTTGAGGCATGAGGAGTTTCTGCAGTATGCGGAGGCTGCGGGCTTGTCTCCCAGGACTGTCCCGAAACTCGCAGTTGCAATTTGCGTGGTCGTGGTAGTCCGACGTAGGTTCCCTAAACCCTAAACCCTAAACCCTAAACCCTAAACCGGATGGATGTTACTCTTGTCGAGCCGACTCCAGGAACACCAAGGGCTCGATACCAGCGGACGTTCGCTCTGAGCACTATGGTACTGTCGTTGGGCTCTCGGGCTTGAGAGTTTGCAAAATTTTGCAACATAGACTTTGCATGGCGAATTTCTCTGTAAGAAGATCACGTGCAGAGCTTTCTGTTCGAAGGTTGGACGCATTGTCAGCCAGCCAGACGCTCACTTCACCTCCAGCGTGTGGAGACATGTTGTGGAGGGCATCGCGCCATCAAGTCAGGCAAGTCCCTTTATTGATGGTGGATAAGAGGAGCCAACGGCCAACGGCCCGAGCTCGTCAGCCTGGACCTGTAAGAGCATGAGCCCGTTTACTCCAGGAGTCAGCTGGGGCTCTTGCGACCCGAGGAGCAGCTAAGGCGCGACCACCACGAGCACTGCTTGCGTGCGCTCTAGGGAGCATGCTGTCAAGTCCTTTGCCATGGGCATGGTCAGGAGAACATGAGGACTGTCAGGATCCGTGATTCCTGGGCCAGCGAGACCCTGCTAAGTCGTATAGCAGCCTGGATTACAGCACCGGCTGCATCTGACAGCAATTTTTGGCTTGGACATGGCAGCAGGATGCTCAAAACCTCCATCCTGAGATCAGTCACAAAGGAAAGCGTCATGTCAGACTCACTGTGCCCGAGGCCCTGAGCCTTTTTCCCCAAGACTTATGGTCATGAAAACTGAGTGGGCTGCGAGGCAAACACCCCAGGCATGTCCTCCTTTCCCTGACTCCACAGCTCCATTTTGCTTGACCCTCTCTGTGTGTGTGTGTGTGGTGCGAATCGTTCACCATGTCCGGGCCCTGTTCCCCGAATTACCATACAGTACCCCTACGCCATCCTGTGCCGAATGGGAAACTGTGCACAGGTTCAACGTGAACTTTGAGGTTGTTCCTGGCTCTCAGGGGAAGTACGGGTCTCAAGCGACGTGGCTGCTGGAAGCTCGTGTGAGTAAAAGACCGCTACTTGCGATTGAGGTCGTGCGTGGAGGTGTGCCAAGCAAGGACCGACATCAGAAAGCAGCATTTTCAACGGCGGCCGCTTCGTGCAATCATGAGCGTGTTGTTCAATCGACGCCAGTCTACTCGTACATATTCTGCCCGAAGTTCGTTTCCACCGAATCCCCGAGTCCCGTGAAATGGTGAGGAATGCCAAGTGCGACAAGCAGCAGCCGAAAGCTCGGCGCTCCACCAGTTTGCCACAACCTGTGAGCGAAAGCCGGTGTTTAGGATATACTTCCTGAACGACTGCAATCTTCTCAAGAAGCACTTCCCCTGCGAGGTACGTTTCAGGTTTGGGCAGATAGCTTCGGGGCGTAGGGAAGTGCACTGTCAGGCGGGTTGCGCCCACCAGGCCGGATCCGCTTTTTGACAGACCATAGCTGGGTTTCAAAGATGCACAAAGACAGACAGGTGGGTAAAGAGCTCCCGGTCTACGTGCCCGATCCGGCCCAATCCACAAAAGGGCCTGGAGCTCTGAAGCGGACAAGACACGACGCAGTTGCACAAGCACGACTTGTTGCTTTCACTGTCCAAGGCAGTGCCTGATCACCTTCATCTCGCCAGCAACTTGCGAGGTGTCTCTTGCCGCTGTTCTTTCTTGAGTTTAGCATCGTCATGCACCCAGTTTGAGGCGAAGCACAAGAGCACCTCCCGCCTCTGTCCGTGCAGCGTGGCAGCCAAAGCTGAGACAGTGCGACCAGGCCACAAATGAACCCCGCCACGTGCAGCTTCAAAAAGTGCCTAGAAATACTTATGTGCCCTGAGAAGCCTCAGAAGCCTGCAGCTTGCAGCATGGGGGGGCAGTTCCGGTGACTCCTCGCCGCAGCTTTTGATACGGTACACGGGTCCCGCGTCTGCTCCAAGATATACATCCGGCTGTGCCATGTGGTGGTCTTAGCCATGAGATTACGCTGTCTGCCGCGACACTGCTCTGAAAACGCATACGGTTCGTGGAAACTCCAAGCGCGGCCTGAGGCAGAGAGCCACCCGGCCAAAATCCTGGCGGAGACCTGCATTAGCTGCAGCGCTTGCAGGCACTGTCGCTACCAGGCAACGGCATTGATGCCCCAGAAAAGTCGGTACAAGCTAGCATCACGACTTGGCTGGCCCTCTGGTTGAATTACCCTATGTACTATATTATTATAGTATATTAGCTTTTATTATATCATATTATATTATATTATATTATATTATATTATATTATATCATAGTATAGTTTCTCTTGCAGTGCCAGGTCGGTTCAGTGGCCGGAAGCTGCTACTGCATTCGTGCCAACACAAGGCGTAGCGAGAAGCCAAGCTCTCAGAGACTCCTTGAGATTGAGCACAGACCGCGCAGTGCTGTTTGGTGTGTTTATGTTTGTCAGTATGGTCATCATTATCGTTGTCATTAGCATATCATTATTATCATCATTATTGTTGTTATTATTATTATGTTTATTGCTACTGCTATTGCTATGATTTTGTTGATGATCATTATTATTGATCTTGCTGTTGCTTATACTAGTATTATCATTATGATTACAAATATTCTTACACTTATCACTAGTTATCGTTTTTTATGCGCATAAAAAACACTATCAGTGTTGATCCCTTCCTGCCGACGTTGGGCTTTCGGATCGGGCCGAGCCTCGTTTCTCTCGCGAGAGATGCTTTCGAACTCGCTGCGCAGCGTGCGCGCGTCCACGCCCAGTCCTCATAATGATGTGTGTTTCTATTGCAGGGATAAGTTGATAGTACTGATGATAATAGTAGCAATAGGCATCGTTGTAATAATAAGCAATACCAATACTAAGAATCTGCCTTTTCACATCAGGCCTTGCCTCCTCGCATCGCAGAGCCGAGACAGAGCAGGCACCGACACGCCTCATTTGCATCTTGAATATTATATATGTATATATGTATATAT